AGTATTTTTATTCAACTTGCCTTTACTGTAGCCTAGATATACTTTCCATGTTCAATCCTCTCTGTGCAAGATGATTCAATTATGCTTTTTTTATAAGATAGGGTGACAAACGAGCACACAGTCCACCTGATGGTAAGTGTTTGCTGTGGCCCATAGATATCTACATCTATCCTCGATTACGAATCAAAATGCAGATGCGTTGTCACCCGTGAATACTAAGATGGAATGCCTCGTTTCCAGTAAAAAGGGTCTCTGGTTCTCTACACTCACCATACGAAACACAGCAGCATTAAGCTACTATTTTACGCTGGTATTCTGTGAGAGCGTGGTCCTTCCCCGGTCGAGCCGACCCATTCGTGCTACAACTATACTACTAATATAACTGCAGCTTGTCTCTAACACGTACAAAATAGAAAATGTATATAATAATTATTGTAGCATAGCTTATATATAACATAATCGATTGAACGCTTCTGCACAGAAATCTATAAGCAAAATATGTCATAACAAGATTTACTACAGGTTGTGGTTTTGGTTGGTAGATTGGTGGTAATAAATCGCTGGCAGATGGAGTGGGTGATGCTTAGTAAAGTTCGCAATAAAATAAAGTCGCCTGTTACGTCGTGATGCACCTCGACGCCATCGAGACTATACATTGAAGCCGGTTTGAATATTTTCTCAGTGTATACGTTGATGACTCTTGAATACTGCCCAGAACGCGGCGCAGCTGTAGTCTCTTTGGGCGGTAAGCCTCACACTCTTTTATCTAGCTCTATCTCTGCCGAATAATTGTTTTTCTTTAAACCAATATAATCACAAGCTAAGAAACTCTATCTTGATTTCGATTTGTCTTGAAATTTTTGCCAAAAAGTAAGTTTGAATGTTACTTTGATTTTTTTTAACCGACGTATAAAAGGAGAAGGACTGTTTTTTTTTCATTTTTAATGTGATGTGACTCAATCAAATTGTGAGAGACAGTACAGCGGACTCGAGTTAATTTGATAGCAATTCCAATGATAATTAATCTTTATATCTTTTATTTTTCTAATTATTACTAAACTCATTACTATATAGCAAAAGCATTGGCACCGCACAAATAACCCCCAACAAGCTTTCGGCCGACCTGAACTGCCTCCTGGCGGCTCAGGCCGAGCCTTCCTATCTCATCTCGTAATCTGCCTTAGTTAGGCACATTTCTCAGCGGCTACTCGTTGCCGGCGTCCCCCTTTCTTCCAAAGGGGGGTCGCGTTCGATACGGCTGAATGATCTTAGCAGGTTATAGCCATTCCCACAGGTGGTGTTTAGTGGGTAATGCACTCCGACAAGTCCCACATAACCACGCAGCCGGCTACATGGTATGCATGAGCATTCACCACCTCCCCCCCTCGTTTACCGGATGATAGCCCTTATTAGCTTCTGGGTGCAAAAAAGCGGCACAATTGTTTCAATTTACTTTCTAGTAGGCATTAAAAATAAAAACTGCCATCGATCGTTACACAGTGGCTATTATTGCGTCATATAATGTAGTTATGGAGAATATAATTATATTTTCAATTTGTGTTCCCACCGTAGTTTTACCGTTTTAACTATGTACCTACTTTTATTTATACCTTCCTGTATGTAAGATCAAAAAATAGTTTTTATAAAAATGCTTCCATTTACCTTCTATACCTACCTACTTCTAACCAAGATTGGTCTTTCGTAAAGAAAGTTATTGGGAAACGAACATTTCATCAGCTTCCGAATGCCGACCTTCGTCTTATGTCAACAAACTAAGTTACTGGTCATACAACCAATCTTATCTTTCCTTTTGTACACATTGTGCAAAGTATTCTTCAAATATTTTCTCTCATCTAGTTAGCTAAAATATCGTATGTGTCATTAAGACCGTGTCTTGATTGGTCGGTACGATAAAGATGTAACATACGCTCGTCATTTCGAGCCGATGTCGATCGCATATTATAGGATAGACTTATTATTTTGTTCCTTGACTGGTCTGCACATCAACGGTACAATATATGCGTGTGTAATAGTGGAGACGAACTGTCCACTATTAACAGACTCCGAGTGGTTTTCTTTATATTGTTTGCTGCATAGAGTTGAAAATCTAGTGGCTTCAACTTCTGTCCTTGCTTCGGCGGTAACACTGAGATATTTGCTCCGGTGTCGATAAGGAAAGTAAGCTTGCTTTTTTTATCGGTGACGAAAAGACGGTAGGACTTTGCTGTTACGCTGGATCCCGTCGCATCGAGCGTACTAGTTAGTTTTCCGTATTCGTATTTTCATTTTTGAATGTACACGGTGCTGTGCATTTTCTTGCCTCGACCCCGAAACGTCGATGATAGTAGCAGTAAGGGGATCTTGATGTTGAGCTTATTCGACTTCTACTTGCAGACTACGGCGACTTCGAATGATAGCTTCCGAATTTCTTCGAGAAGAAACTGGGTATCATTGGCCTTTGTTGAAGTGCCTTCGATGATCGATATGTGTGAGCTACTGCTGTTTTCGATCATCTTGTCCGCCAGGAGTGCCAGTTCGTCGAGCTTCGTCTGCGTGCTGAATGTTTCGCTGACTGCTATTACCGATCGAATATGTGGTGGTAGATGGTTTACCCACATTAGCCGTAGTGTTGAATCCGGAACTTTATCTCGCGCCAAAGTACGCATTTTGCGTAGGAGTTGTGTGGGTTTCTGGTCTCCAAGTTCTATTTCTGATAGAAGTTTTTGTAGCTGTCGACTGTCGGATTCTTCGTATGCGGAGATCAGACGATCCTTCAGTGAATTATACTGGTCGACTGCTGGTGGGTTGTACAACAGGTCCGCAATTTGTTCGATGTCTTGTTTCTCAAGTTGGGCTATCACCATCTGTGCTAATTGCGCTTGGCTCTTCTTTAAACCATTCGTTGCGGCTTCAAAACTGACGAACCAAAGTCGTGGTTTGTCTCTCCAAAACGGTGGTATTCTTAACGATAGAGATATACCGGCGATTTCTGATTCCTTTATCGGGTTTGATGTATATGTGTTTGCCTCCTGCTCCATAATGACGGCTTGATTACACTGATTTTATATAAACTGAAGTCTTCCTTCTCGGTGTTCGTACGGGTTTCCTTCGCGGTGTTCGTGCAATAGTAGTGGTACGTCGCAGGGTGTTCCTTCTTGGTGTTCGTACCGGATCTTCCCCCTCGGTGTTCGTACGGAGTCACCACTGTAATAGTGGAGACGAACTGTCCACTATTAACAGACTCCGAGTGGTTTTCTTTAAGGTGGAGAAATGAAACTACTGTTTATGTTTATGAATGTACTGTCGAATGGGATTCGGAATGGAATATATTTTGCATCAACCTTGCCTATATTTATATGGCTGGCTCACTATTGATTTGCCAATGGTAACAATTAATATTTTGCCTAGCCAATTATATTGCTTATTTTATGACCAATGAAAACTATTTAAAATATACAATTATCTACGTTTCGTTTCCCGGCGTGAGACTTGTTTGTTGTTCACGAAGCTACGTCGCTGGACCGGGCTATATAAGACATGCAGATCGGTGCGCACGCGTAGTCGGCGGGCGGCGGCGGTGTGGAATACAGCTCCGGAACAGCAAGAGGAAACGAACTGCGGCGTTGAAGAAACGGCTCACCATTGGTCGACGGATACGTGACGATAGCGGCGTGTGAAGTCGGTGTGGCGCTGAATGATATTTGCGGCTGCTTCTTGTTTCTTTATAAGAACGTCAAATTATCTATATACAGTCCGCAGTATCTCAGTAGCCAAGAATAATTAGGAAATAAAATGTTTTTTTATTTATTCTCGCCTTCCGCGTTATGGTAGCAGCGGAGTATATATTATTTATTCCCGTTTCGGTTTGATTAATCTGGCTGCTACACGTGGAATACGAAGCCTATCTTGATCGTATATTAAACAATTAAGACTTAGTTCGTTTCTTGATTGGTCAGTACGACAGTGACGCAACATATGCTTGGCGTACCGAACCGATCCTATCATTTAAATGTCCTGCAGACCGAATTCCGGTCACAGCGGTAAGCCTGAACGGAGACTAGCCATCTGCGCAGAACAGGATTGTAGTGCCCGAGTGTATGCACAAACGCATTTTCTATTTCAAATTTCTCTATTCTCTCACTCTCATAATCCGATGGGACGATAATACGACACGTCCGGAGAGAGATCAGGCGCAGAGCCAACGACTTTACGTACTTTCCGAGACACGGGGGTGAGACACCGCCAACTTCCTGACTCCTGTTGCGGCTGCTACTGAAAATTTCTTACAGAATAATCCAATAACTGATCACTGCCCGATCCGGGCAGCCCGGGCCCTACTCGAAACAGATATACAATAAAGACTGGGCCTTTTCTGTATTGGAGATACAGTATACATTGCATTCGCCTTACGGCAGCAAAATTGTGTCGCATTGACAATTATCGCATAACATCTGTTAAAATATTTTCTATCGGAAATAAATATTAGGTAGTCTTTAAAGCTTTCTCTTTGTGTAAATGCCAGTAATGGCAAATGTAGTTAAAACTAGTCTTCATTCTTCAAGTAATGATATTAAAACAGTTGCATTCCACGTTGAATATTGTCTAAAAGCTAAGAAATGTACGCTGCATCAGGTCAAGTAGTAACTCCTTAACAAAGCAGACGTTACATCTCAGTCGTACCTATATACCATTCGAAAACGAAACGCCCTAAGGATCTTTTAAATAAACATATCAAAATTTATAAATATCTATGTGTATACAGAATATAGAAAAGTTTATGAGCTGAAAGAAATTCTTTTAATAATAATATCAGGAATTGTATTTATAGACATTTAAAACCAAGCATTATTTTTTTGCTAGTGTATTTAACAAAATTTATATCCAATTTCATCAATTTACAAATGCAACGAAATTATCAATTTAACAATTTTTTTTAAATTAAATATACGGACGAAAATAGAAGTTAACGATTTGATAGCCCCCCTGTTATTTCAAATGTTTCAGTCGACGGCACTATTATTAGAATTGAGATTAGCTTGATATTTGGCTTGGAAGCGCCAGCGGTCGCGCCAACAATTGACCTGGTTGCGGATACGTGAGACATCTGCCGCGTATGTGCGACAGCATCCCCCCACATACCGCACGCCTAAGTCTAACCACTCCTGAATGAACACCTCCACTGATTCACACTTGTCTCGATCAATCCACCTATAAAATAAATTAAAACATACTTTATAACCTCAATTTAAAAATATTGGGTAAATTACTGATTATTTTACAATAATAGGTACTTTTTAGTATTAATATTACATAAGTATATTAAAAACCATGGTAAATAAGCGTCCATTGTTTATTCGTTACTTAAGATCGAAAATTCTGCAGGATAAAGATGTTGATTATTTCTTGGCGTATTTCGATAACGTTCAGAACTATTGAACTCGAGTTCGACAATCGCGCATAGGTATATAATACGACGCACACTACGTACAAATTCATTATGCATTCATTTGTCTAACAAGAATTAATTATTAGGTACTCTTGGTCGTTGACATATAACATGAACATTGTAATTCATACAAAATAACTTCATTTAAGTTAAAATGTTTTAGACTCACTACAGCGTTCATTATAGTAATTGTAATTTATTACAGTAGTAGGGACTTTTAATTAATAATAATTTTAATATTTAAAAAAGTAAACGCAAAATATTTAGTAAGTATTACAAATTTATAATGAATGAAATGAACAATCCCGTTTTGTGTCGTGATTAGAGATCATTAGATACATCATCATTACCGTGGGCTATGCCGTGTGTGTCGTAAAAGCAAAAAAAAGTGTCGGAACATTTTATGACAGATACATTTTTGTTCACGGATGGTGTATAAACATTTCGCATTTATACCAGCAATATGTTGGAGCAAAGTAAGGTGTTGCAATCACTATTCACAATTACAGTCAGTACAGTACTCTACTACGGGAGTGGCACATGTCCTGCTGTGAACTATACTATTTAGGCCTGCCACACACTACTTACGGAATTCCGTTTCGAAATTCCGAAACAGAACGAACGTGTCGGCCACACACTTACGGAATCCCGTTTTGCCTGCAAAATTCCCTACGGAAAACTACCATAGGTGTGTGATGGTCGTTGATTTTATATGGACTTGCTGCGTTCGGAGTCTGGAATCAGAATTACGAAACGGAATTCCGTTTCGGGATTACACACCACACTACCACAATCATACAAAATAAATTGATTAAGAATCAATTTAATTTGTATGTATGTGGCGGGCCTAAATGAGTCAAAGTGAAAATACAAGTGTTTTATTTGGTAGCAGAGGGCATAGTGAATTGAGTAGTCGACAGATGGTTAGGAAGTGGATTTACTAATTGATAGTAAAAGTTAAAAAGTAAAGTTACAGCCTATATACGTCCCACTGCTGGGCACAGGCCTCCTCTCATTTCTGAGAGGGTTTTTAGAGCAAGAAGTGTCCGCGTCGCTGCCCCGTGTTGGCGATCTTCACATGTCTTCGAAATATTTTTTTTTCTTATTCCTCAGACATGCAGGTTTCCTCACGATTTTTCCTTCACCGCCGAGCACGTGGTTAATCAGCACTTAAAATTGCAATTAACAATTTCATTCGAACCCGGGTTACTCGCGTTCTGTTATATTTACAGCGAGCGTTAACCATCTGAGCTACCACGGCTCTCTAATTAATAGTAATAATAATGTTATTCGATAAGATTATTTTACTCGCTTAATATACTTAAGGTGAGTAGGTATTAAGATATGAAACCCTTTTAATAAGTTTTATACTTATTAAAAAGGTTACCTGTGATATAAACAAAATAAGCCGTGTATTGCGGCGTAAGAGAACCCTCTAACCCTATGTCATCCCATGGGTGAAACTAAAACAGGAAATATGGGTATGGCTTATATAATAAGGTTGAAAAATTATCACATAGTCCACCTGATGGTAAGTGGATGCTGCGCGCCCGTAGACATCTACATTTAGCCTCGATTAAGAAGCAAAATACCGAATACGTTGTTACCCTTGAGGGCTAAAATGGAGTACCTCGTTTGTAGTAAAAAGCCTCCGGTTTTGTACACTCACCATACGAAACACAGCAGCATTAAGCTGCTTTTTCACATATTCTTTGAGAGCATAGTCTTTCCCCGGTCGATCTGACCCTTCTTGCTGCAACCACAATAATGTATAAATGTATGTATACTGTATTATATATGGATTATTGTTATATATGGATTATTATGTAGATATTGGTTTGTATTCATATGTATTTGTGTAATTAATAAGCCTCATATTAATGTGTTATATTTATTTTATTTAGTTATTAAAGTCACATGTCCTTAATCACTCACCACGCTATGGATTGATCGGTAGAGATTGCTAACTGGCATTTCGCCGTCATGGTTAGTACAATAAAGTTTTTTTTTTAAATAAATAAGTTTAATAAATAATATAGTTGCAGCGTGGCTCTACCACGTATATAGCCTGAATCTGTCACTATTTCTGCTTGATAACAGCTCAAAATAATAAAAAACTGCTACGCGTGGCAGCTATGGCAAATATGGGGAATATTAGGCAACCTATTCGGGAAAGGCCTATGTTTAGTAGTGGACTTTTAATAGGTTTTATCAATGAGAAAAAGTAGAATTAAGTACTATAGCTACAATATTGCTCTGTTATGAGTCTTTTGATAATGTTTTTAATAATAAACACGAGATAAGATAAAACATGCTCATATCATATAGGCATATCTGAAGGTGGCTAATTGAAACTTACCCTATTTGTGGATTGTATTTTTCGCCTGAGTTAGGATAAACAATTAATGGGATGGGGGAGTGGGGCCGGTCGTCGTTGATCCCTTTCAGTAGATCTGCTACGTAGGAAGGTGCGCAGCAGTTCACTCCCACCGCCACTAATTGATCTGGATTCGCTTCCCAACACTTTTTGGCCACTTTTTGGAAGCTTTCACCGTGAGCTATACTTTGATTATCCTGTAGTTATGATCAAATATTCACTTTAGATTAATTTCATTCTTACATTTATATCATGACATCACCAAAACGGACCATGCTACTTGTAAAAATTGATAATTTAGTTTTAATTTATTGAAATTAATATAAAATATAAATTAAGTTTTCGTCAATATTAATTTAAGGTTTTTAGGTTAATGTTACCTTAGCTTATACTATAGCTTATATTATTTTTTATTATTTACCTTAGCTTATATTGTTTTTATCTTTATATAATCTTTTGTTACTATTTACTACTCTCATATTAAAATACTTTATACAAACCTTACAACTGAAAGAAAGCCATGCCTTTATATTTGGAAACTCGCGCAACAGGTCACATAACATTTCGGCTTCTTCTTGACAAGGTATTGTCTCCAAAGCAAGTAAGTCTACCCCCGCATCCACTAAAGCTTGGATCCGCGGTAGATGCCATTCGCGCATTGTCTGTTGAATATTTTTTTATACATAAGTATATTAATAGAACGACGAACGAGTTTACGGTTAACCTAATGGTAATTGGCTACTGCAGTCTATGGAAACCTGCAACTTACTTAAAAATATGACACAGATTTATAGAACATGGGTGACAAACGAGGGCACAGTCCACCTGATGGTAAGTAGATGCAGTGGTCCATAGACATCTACGTTTATCTTCAACTCAGAATCAAAATGCTTTTTTACCCCTGAGGTGGAATGCCTCGTTTCCAGTTAAAAGGGTCTCCGGTTCTCACCACAAACACAAAAGCATTAAGCTGCTATTTTACGCTGATATTCTGTGAGAGCGTGGTACCCCGGTCGAGCCAACCCTTTCGTGCTGTAACCGCAATGTAGTTGCGGCATGGCTCTACCACTTAAAATGTACCTACAAATATACCTTACTGTTATTGTTATCATTTGAACCGCATGCTCATTTGCCTCTTCTATGGAAAATGTTAATAAAAAAAAATTCTCTAATATATGATGAGAATGGTTTTAATTAAAAATGTTAAAATTACCTCTCATAACATAAATTATAACTTATGGGCGTATTAAAAGCACTACATCAATCACGCTTCATTTATTACTATTCGTCAAAAAGGCGATGAGCCATTCCTAGGTGTAATTTTTAAAACATCGAATGGATGGTGAATTTTTCGTTATTAAAAATTACGCGTCTGGTGATATCCCATATTAATTATTTTAAAGCTAACAAAATATATTTTTATAAAATGGCAATTCGAAATTTATATACGAAAAACAAAAAAGGCATACAGGTTTAATTTAAATCGTGTTCGTTTTTTGATATTCATTTGTTCTAGGTACCATTAATTAACTGTCCACTCCAGACAACTTCGTCCAGCGAGAACAAACCGAGGAATGGCAAAGCGTTTTTTTTTTCATATTGCCGATGTAAATTTTAATTTGCCGGCAGCTTTACGACTCTCTTTACGATTTAGCTTGCGCTTTTAACTTTTTCGTAGATTGTTCATCAAAGTGTTCATAGCTACTGGGGTTCAGTATAAATAATCCCACACGTCACATGTGCTCTTTGTAAATTCCATGATCAGATAATTATTTCTTGTTGTTTTTTCATAGTCTTTAATACGATACTAAAATGGAGAAGTTACTTTGTGATAAAATGTTGGTGTTTTGCCGCATACTAGCGTAACTTATAGATGTTTACAAATGATATAACGAATAATTTATAAATACTAATTATTTACAATAAAAATAAGATTTGTTAAGATTTATTGACATTTATTTGCACATTGTAAATGTAGATAATTAAAATGGTAGACAAGAAATGATTAACCTAGTAATTTTATTATCAAACAAAAATAGTTAGGGAACTCCGTGCACTTCGACATCGTAATGTACAGTAATAAAAACACTCGTTCAGAATTAACACCCTCTAGTCAAACATTTAATTTAAATCAATCGGTCGAGCTTAGCGTTTCACACCATTCCCTATAAATAAAGTAATAGGTTATACCTAATTTTAAACTTAACCTATAGATTGATATTATTACATAGGTTATAGGTCATATTACACGTGGTAGAGTCACGCTGCAGCTAGTGAAATAATTTAATTCTCAAGGTAATATCTTGTTGAAGGAAAAACTTCTTTAAAATCATTGTAATTTGGAACCTGAGGAAATGAAAAAGCGACACTAAAAAGAGACAACCATAAACATATATAGGATTAAGGTTGCGAGAGAATGAGTTTCTGTTATTATGCAGTAAGGAACAAAATTTGTTGATTAGAAAATATTTAAGTACTTACTGTAATGAAATTGAAGTCCGTATAATATTTACTGTTATATAATTTAACTTATACATAACTTATACACTTATAACAATATTACAGAAAATAAAGCCTACAATTATCCTACTCCTGATACTCTGTATTCGTCTCATTCTCTCGAAATTTAGCTTTCTGAAGGTTTCATTTATACCGCGTATGAGCGGCATGTACCTACAATACACATGCTTCCTCTATACTTACTATTGTTAAGAAACAAGTTTGCTTAACTTTTTTTAAGCAAGTTTTTTTAGAGCAACACATTTGTTTGTAATTTTCAACGATTGACGACGACGAAGAACACAAGATCTTCATGTATTTTTTAAGATTTGTATAGGATTGATATATATATATATATATATATATATATATATATATATATATATATATATATATATGTGTGTGTATGTGTGTGTGTGTGTGTGTGTGTGTGTGTGATTATTCCACTTACTTATTTAATAATATACATATATAAGCTGAGATAATATTACTTCAGTGTTAAGCCTATGTGCTGATGTGCTGTATAATAACTTTTACCTGAACAGTGGTGGTGTCGGCGTAGCTGCCATCGTATTCAGAACCATCGTGAAGATGCGCTCCATACGGGCCCACTGATCCCACGACCAACGGGACGTGATCTGAATAGAAGCATAATAGCTGCTGATACCTTAGAATAATTTATGTTCCTAATTCTCTGTTTCCACGGGTTTCATACAAATACTTTAAGCCACACCAAAATTTAATTAATACGTGCTTGCACCCGTCCCTAGAGAGATCCGTGAACTCGAGCAGGTTTGATAAAGTAAAATTTAAGCATTCTTGAAATTTGATGACACATGTTATTTAAGAATTACATATTTTTTAAATAAACTTTTATTTATAATTAGACAGATGAATTTCGATACACAAAAATCACGAGTTTCTTTGCCATTTACACTCTTCTGCTCCCGTTTCTGAAATAGAGTCTGTCGAACTTTGACTTTTTAATAGTATTCCCCAATATAAGTCGAAATAAACCGACAAGCTTTCCGTTTTGATGGGTATAGCGGTTTAGTATAAATATAAGTTAGAAGCTTTTAGTCCATAGAGAAAACAATGCATATGCAACCTTTTTTTTCTGAGCTAGTTGCAGTAATGTCCACACGAAGGAGTCATTTGATATCAGGTGGACTGTTAGCTGGTTTTTATTCTAGTGTTATGAAAATTTAGATTTATTCTCGGACGTGGTAGTATCACTTCTATTGTGAGTAATATTATTAAAAATAAATAAAAGAATAAAACGTTAATATTATTACCACCCTGAATGCAGTCTTCATATTCTTCCAAGTAAAGAGAGCGTGCTCGCTTGGCCAGCTCTACGGCACGCAATATAAGCTCGTAACCTTGTTCCGGTGTTACACCAAGATGTTCCACAAAACCGTCAACTGATGCCTGATACGTATTTGTTATTATTAAATGAGCTCCCGCTGTAAAAAGTAGAAGTTATATAAACAAAAATAGCAATCAATTCTTCAGTAATGACAAAATAACCAAAACCTAGTTGCTTAAACAACAGTATAAGATTTTGCCCCAATTCCCTTCCTCTGAACTATTATTACTTAAGCTGTGAAAATTTGTATTGCTAAACTAAATACATAAATATTGAATTTGCCTTCTCGTACTATTATTAACTAGGAACAGCATGCGCTCAAGAGAAGTAAACAATTAATGTTATTAAAACTTGGTAATGCAATAGAGTTTGTGAAGTTCAATAAGACTGTTCGACGAAACGAACCTTTGTCGGGTTTCAGAAATTAATAACGTAATAAATAGAGGATGGCGCGAAGCCTGCGACTGGTAACGTATTACTCGGATAGACAAGGTGATTAATGGGAACACTTGCTGTAGCCGTTTCAAGAATCAAGTGCTTTATGAACATATAATGGTATAATACATTGCATATCAATGTAAGTATAAAACTTTAAAGAGCAGAGCATTAGAGAGAAATAAGTAATAAAAATAGAAATGCATAAGGAATTAATATATAAATTTTTTGTAATATATAGGTAACAAAAGCTTTAAGTGGAAATGTTCGCACAATACGAGTAGAGCCATTTTTATGTTTATGCATATCATTTCCCCTGAAGAAGGCGGCAAAGCAAGTCAGTAGGTTTTTTCCCTCCAGGGAGTTATTTGCTTGCAGACACTTTTCAGTTTTCCTTATGAAAAGAAACGGTCCGTTTTGTGGCAAAGAAAAGCGCTTTCAGAGGACGATGACACGAGGTGGGGTCGCACTCTTGCTGTCAGTTGCTAGGAAATGACAGGCTAAAAGCGACCTAACGTGTAATTCGTCAAAACACGAGAAGTCTCGTACGCGTACGTTTCCGTTTCGTTCTGATTCCATTCTGTGCGACATAGAGAACAATTATGTATATTACTACGTAATTAGATAAGGCTTCTGCGTTGTGTTCATTCAAATCGCTCCTTTGAAATACAAGACAAAGCAATTACTCCATAATTTGCGTGTATAGACAAGTTATTAACTAGATGACGTTTCACGTCGTTTCACGTTAGCGCTCAATGAAATTGCAAATTGATAACAATTTTATTATTAGTTTTAACCTTACAGTTTTGATTAAGTTTATTCCACGTCAAAAGAAACCAGGCAAAATGTTATTCCAAACTGCACCGGCACCGAAATGTTCAATAAGCGTTTCTCTTGGAAATTGTTACAGCGGCTGCTTTTCCCAATATTATCTTAATTTGGAAGAGATCTTTGGCAAATATTTGGTTATTAGTTCCGCTTTATTACACAACCTTTGTGATCGGACCATCAGCTCTAAGTACTTTAATGAAAAATATTGATAAAATGTTAATACGAAATACTTTTCACTAAACGGAACTGCTGTTATTTTGATATGAAAAATAAGTAATAATTCTTTTGATCGAAGAAAATTTAAGTATCACTTAATTGTAGGTTAAATTATCCACAAAAACCCATATTTTATGTAGAAAGATTGTACTCTACTTAAATTAAGTTATTTCTTCTTCTTTGTTGTGATCTGCTGTTTGTTTTTGTGTTTTTCACGGTTAAATAGGAATTCCCAAGCATCGAATCAACTGTAAACTACTTTATTCAGCAGTTTGGTGGTTAATTATTACCATATCTATTTTTTTTTGCAAAGTAGATACTGCTCTTTCTCCTCATTCTTATATTTTGGATCTTATTTGATAATATGAGGTCCTTCGTCCTTCATCTATTTTAGACAATTATTTGTGGAGCATCTTAGGGGTGTTTGATTTAAGGGGTATCGGGCCGCAGCAACCACTTATGACTTGTGCTTTGTACCTATTATGCATAGTTTTGTCGTTACCTTAAGGCGACTCCTATGACAAACTTAAGAGGTGATGAATTGGCAACGGATGGCGCCTATCACTTCACACAGTACCGAACAATTATGATGAAACAGCATCATCAGGTCGCTCAAAAATCCGTCTGGCCAGCGCAGCGTGTTGATTGAAAAACTCCTCTAAGAAATGTCACACTTTTTCTACGTGGTAGAGTTATGCTGCAGATATATTATGATTGTAGCATAAACAGATCAGGACCGGGAAGGACCTGATCTGTTTATGCTATACCGTCATATAGCAATTTAAAATGCTGCTGTTTCGTTTAGTGTGCGTAGAGAACCGGAGATCTGTTTTACTGGAAACGAGGCATTCCATCTTAGTCCACATACGTGACAACGCGTATGCATTTTGATTCTTAACGGAGGATAGAGCTAGATATTTATGGAGCACAGAATCCGCTTACCATAAGGTGGATATTGTGCTCGTTTGTCACCATTATTGTATATTTAAAAAAATCTTACTACTATGTATCTAGAATCGGATTTAAAAGTCTAATACCTTACTCAGATTATAAAGCAACCACGTTTCAAATCAAAATATTATTTAATCTTATCTAAAGCTTAACGTTAAAGAAACATCTTTGAGTTCTCTAATTTAATTTATCAAGCCAATATTGCGACGCCTCTCACTCTTTCTTTGTTATAAGCTTACATTTACACAAATTTATTAATTAAATTTCTGCGAAAGCGTACAAATGTATTGGCTTCATGGGCGCAATGCTGATTATTCTGTCTTAAACGAGATTGTGATATGTATGTAATGCTTTCAATTTAAACATTATGGGGTACTAACTGATACACGCTCGTTTCGCTGGGAACACGATAATAAATGATAATAACGTAGATATAAAATATCAAGAATGTATGGAACTATCGTAAAATCCGTTCTTAGTGCGCGTCTATATTGCGAAACTATACTAACTATACTAAATTTCAAGTCAATCGGGTGTATAGTTTTACAGATCTCGTAATGAGTCACTCGGTCAGTAGTATTTCGCTTTATATATATATATATATATATATATATATGCCTCTCATGTCAAGGGTACCTCTTTTAGAGCCGGGGCGGCATCAGAGGCAGCCGAATTTAGTAAATGGCGCAAATATGAGTCTTTGAGAAATGACTACATATTTGTGCCATTTGCTGTAGAGACTATCGGTCCGTGGGGTAACTATATCCACGACTGGTCGTCGCTGCTGGTGATAAGAGGGCTGGTTCTTTCCTCGCTCAAAGGCTAAGTATCACTCTCAGCGAGGAAACGCAGCCAGCGTTCTTGGCACTATACCACGGGGAGCAGGTCTTTTTGACTATTAAAATTTTTAGTTTTAGATTTTCTATATTATAGTTTCTTCTTTTATATTATATATAATTAATCGTAAATATTATAATTTTAATTATTATTTTAGTTAAGTTCATTATTATAATTTTTCTAATATATTTTGAATTTTAATATTTAATTTGGATATGTAATGATAAATGCAAATATTTTAAAAATAAATTTAAAAGGTGTAAATATATATAGTATGGTAAAGCTGAAGCCCAGATATAGAGCACTCCTATACAGACCCGAATAACTCCCATGTATGTTCCACGATTTTCTTGTTATGATTTTTTTTAACAGTTTATGACTTTCACGACATTTTTGTGGACAGTGATGTAGGTAAGATACAGCCATGATTTTATTTTCTTACTTAGCTGAATACATGACTAGACAAACAAAATTAGCACCTTTGTCCACTTATGTAAACACAGAGCAACAAAAAAAAGTAATTTCGCAAAACAAACAAAACAAGGTTTTAAAAAATATTTGAAGGCTTTTGAAGACAAATCACATGACTTTTTCTTTCAATCTTATTTTACAAACATGTCTCATCATCTATTTACCCTGAAAATTTCATCGAACTGTCACTACTACCTACATCACTGTGCACAAAAATGTCTTGAAAGTCAGTTGGCAGTGCCGGATTAACCACGTAGCAAGCGGAGCAATTGCTACAGGCCCCGCGCTTAAGGGGGTCTCGCGTATCCAAGCATCCCGTCAGTACTGTTATCAAGCTATCAATACTATTTCAAAATTCTGACAAAATTTCCAAATAATACGACACCTTTAGTAAATCCATAGATTCAGACTGCATAGCTTTTTTGTGTGAGCAGCTATGCAGATCTAGAAAGATCAGTATAACTACGACCTAAAAGATCTATTGTGATCGCTGCTATGGCTATAGTTCACTGTTAAGCCCTGTGTCTTCAATGAATAGGAGTTACTTAGCTGTGAGAAATTTCACTACCTCTGGGCGAAGTTGATAGTTTCTCAGTGTTATACGAAAATTTCTGCCTGAAAGATAGAGATTAATCTACCATCATTCATACTAAGTTTGAATTTGGGGCATTTCCCATAAATTCCAAAGCCTATTTCAAGGCCCATTTTTGACCCATCGGTGTACCACATAAGGCTTCCGAACTCAAAGATAACCTGTCCATTCAGCCATTCTTCTCTGGACTCCAACTATATACTTTTTATTAAAAGTGTATAGTGGACGCCTACTATCTGAGATGTTGCATAAGACCTGTGTTTTCTTAATGGACCTCCCTCAGTTGCGTGCACTATCCCCTTCACCACTACATTCAGCACTACCACTCTCAGGCCTCCCCAGCACCACCACACTTGGAACGAAACACCACCCCTGTTAATACGACATGTGTTTCGCCTCTACACGAGTAAAGTAAACTCAAAGTAGACTCTGCGGAGGCTGACAATATCTTCGTCACCACTGATCCTATTACTACCACTCCTAGTACTCTCTCCGCTCTCTACACGCTGCTATTATACGCTGATATATAACCCATTAATCAGCGAGTTGTATAAATAGCAACTGTTTCGGCTCGCCACTCACTTAGCCTTCAGCCACCTCAGAGACTACTTCACCTGTGGATGCCTCGTGTAGAGGCAAACACGTCGCGTTACCGAGAGTGGTATGTCGTTCCTAGTGTGGTGGTGGTGGGAGTGGTAACTACGGGGATAATGCACGCAATTGAGGGCGGTTGGAAGGTGCTCTTCAGACTGGGTAGGACACAT